CATAAATTACTATTAAATTAATTATATGAAGATAAGTCATTATGTCTTTATGAAGTAAAAGTGGTCTGCCTGGTATTGATGTTTTTGGCCTGTCAGACGTGTTTTGGCATTATGATCTAACAAAAAATATTCCGCCACTTAGGAAAGTTCAACTGAAATAATATAATTTATTGTTATTGTTTTGGTGTAACTAGTGATATGTACTCAATTGAATTTATGAACCAGTTAATCGTCTCGGCTCCAAAATGGGAATATAAAACTGTGTATTCATTTTTTTTTTTTTTTTTGAGTGCATAATTACGTTCTCATCATACATGTTTTATGCCCTGATGTTACAATTTGTTGTGTATGACATTCACTGCGGATGTTTAACCCCCTTTCTCAGCAGCTGATTTACATCCGGTGAAAAATCTCCAACTGCGCGTTAAAATATTCAAGACCAGCCGAGCCGTACCGCGAGGTTCGACCTCTGCCCCTCTACCGGTTTATACGTGACTGCGTCTCCGAGGATAGCCTCGGGGGAGACCAATTTCGTCTTATGAAATTATGACGCCGGCCGGGGGGGCAGGAGACGAAATTACAGGCTCCCACCTCGGACATGAGTTAATGGAAATGTTAGACCATTAATTTGTTTACGCTTGTGTAGGCGGAGTGCTGTCTGCTTGTAACCGTCGGTCAGATGTTAGCTACATCTTGTTACGTCCTCTGCCCGCCGCCGGCCTGCAAGCAATTTCCTCATCATCATCCCACCGCGACGCCACCTGGAAACCGCCGGCAGATTTATCGGCCAGATCCTCATCCACTCAAATCAAAACACTACGATTAATTTGGAAATAATCGTCCATCCACGACGTAAATTGCCGATGGTTCCGCTCCCTGGATGTTTACGATTTAAGAATCGGTCGTTTTTGTTTACAACCCATTGAAAACTGGATTCTCCAAATTATCCTATTTAGCGACTGCTGTGACTACTTCAAAAACTTAATTGAGTTAGTCTTGTGAGACTGCCCAAATCGCGAGTTCCAGGAGAATTTCAAACTACCTTTTAATTTTTGACTGGTACGAAATTTCCGCCCTGTTATTTACAAAATTATCCATATTTAATATTAAAACACTATACTTTCTGATTTAATAAAAAAAACAGCCACAACAGCCTTATTATCCTTTCTAGATAGATAACATGATAGATAGATAACATGCTTTATTTACATTAAAGAGAAGCGTTACATAATATACAATATTAAAAGCGTTTTACATCATGGATGCTTATCCGTCTGCCGGAAGTTGGCTGTTTTTTTTTTTCAGGCGAGCGAAAAATAAAAAATAAAATAAACTATATAATAATGGTAATATTAGAAAACTATAAGTAAAAACTAAATTATAAAAACTAGCTGATTTTAGATACAAGTTAAACAATTATGATTCGGTATTATAATCGTACCTATATTGCCAGGCATGACGTGCATAGTGTGCTAGACATTTCGACCTCTCCATATCCACGATATTTAACAGATCAAGCAGCTGAGACCTGGAAAGCGATTTATAGCCTAGATACAGGATACGGAGTTCAGACAGTATGGGACACTGGGCAACAAAATGAAAGATATCTTCCCTAACTCATAGGTTACAGAGCGTGCACAAGAAATTTCCGACGTCTTCCTTCCATGGCACAGAATTGAGGAACACTTGCTCGCATCTGAGTTTAAGAAGCCATCGAAGAGTCGGAAGTTTTATAGACCCACTAGCTTGAACATTTAGTTAAAGGTTTCCTTAGAGTGGTCTAGGGCCTTAAAGAGAAGATACCTGTTGGAAACCTGAGCCCGATGCTCACAACTCACACGATGTTGATCACGTAGTCTGCACAAAAGTTTCATGGTATAATTGGGCCAACTAGAGAGGTTTTCTAAACAAAAAGAAAAATCGCAACCATATTGAGAAGCTAAAGTATTCCATTGCCGAAACCAAGAACAATTAGATTTTACAATATAACCTCGAGAGCAGTAATTTTGGAGATTCGGGCAACAGGGCCCTTAAGTACCCTTAAAACAAATGAAAAATGCAGGGAAAGCGTAAAAAGGAAAATTTTGTCTACTGCCGTCTCCATATAAAGCATATAGTTTGGAGTAGAATTAGGCAGTGAGAAGATCTTCCTAATAAAAAAAGTTGCACTCTTTCTATCACTTCATAATCCTGGAACCCCCACACCTGGCCTGCATAACACATAATAGAACGGCACACTGCATTAAATACCTTGTACTTTGAGTAAACCGGGATTAGATTCTGGGCCAACACGTAACACCATGTTCTATGCAAAGCCACCTTTGCCACTGAAGCTTTGGGGTTTAGATGAGGGGTAAAAGATAGTCTGGAAGTTAGGACAACTCCAAGATATTTATATTGGTTAACCACATCAACCCTCTCACCCTGGAAAAACCAACACTCGGCCTTGACAGGCCTGCCTCCTCTTCTAAACACCATTATCTTTGATTTAGCCAGGTTGACAGTGAGATTCCATTGATCACAGTATGATTCCAGGAGACTAATATTTTTCTGCAANAGTTGTCGATTTTGGGAGGCATATATAAGTCAAAATTGGGTGACAATGGGCACAAAATAGAAGAAATTTCTTATCGAAGCGGGGAATAATTGATAGCTAGATAACGATATTAAGATGTTTGTTGATGTTGCCCAGGCGCCAGCGGAAATGCTACGGAGGAGGTAAATATTGTGGTTAATCGGCTTACCGACAAATCCGGTCTTATCTCTTGGGTCCCAATACACTTCCTTGTCGTTTTATAGGGGCATAAAACTCCAATTTAACACTAATTGTCAGCACTTTTAGAGCCACCACTGCCTCTACTACTAAGATAGACAGTTTGCCAACTAGATAGAAAAAAAATTTATTCGCACCTTGAACAAAATTAATTTTCCTCTCGCGTTATTTGGAACCACCGTATGTCCGGAACTTGCAAACCAAGAGTAGCAAACTTATGCTTTGGTGAATTTCATTAACAACTTGACTTTTTTTTAACGTACAGCTTTGTATCTCAGCTTCGCTTTAGAGTTTCAACTTCGCTCTTGTTGCTCAAATGTTTTCTCCTCTTGTCCATTAATTTCCTAATTGTTATCCTACGATATTTCATCAGTATATTAAAACATACAAAATGTTATATTTTACTCTTTTTTTTTAAGTTTTGTTTCTGAATGAACAAACGGTCCAAAATTCTGGATAGTTTCGACTTGTCGATTAATATGGTGGATAGATGTCTTCATGTTTCTCTCGCGCTTGTCTGTTTCATAGAGTTTCATAGAATTCACAATAGATTTTACAGTTTCCGAGAAGCATTAGAGCTCAGGAATGATTGTACAGTATTTTATCAACGCTAAAACTTCAACACGTTTTTCAACACGGTCAACAATTATACAAATCATATTTTCCTTTTCATTGAGAGAACGCTTCAAATTTTCTCACTTCCGCTTAATTCGTTTTACAAATCTTATATTTTTTTCACATCCGTACAAAATCAAATATATTAAGCTTCAATTAGTTCGTTAACCTTGAACCAGAAATTTACTTTTTCCGTTGCTCATTATAAACTAAAAACAGTTGTGTTTGCGAACAAAATATTTACAGAATCACCATACGTTTAATTTATTTTATTTTTCTGATGGTAAGAAGACTGACTGACAACTGTAATTATATTACTGGTTTTTAATATAGCAAACGTTTGACATAATTAATTTATCTGTAATAAAAACTTCACCCCTTATACACTAGATGATGGAAGGCTTGTTTGAAAAATTTATACAGCAATGGTAACATCTTAGCCGGCGGCTCTAAGAGCTCATGGCGGGAATTAATCTGATACTCTTGTTGAGTACTTAATCTCACTGTAACTTTATTGTCCCTGATGCTTCAAGATCTTTAAAGACACGAACATCGCAATTAATTTTAACCAGGATCATGTACCATGTTTGAGGCATAATTGGGTCATTGGGACATTAGGAACTTACTCAAGAGAATTTATGGGTAGTTTTTATGGAATGATGCAATTACTTACTCTTTACCATTGATAAATATTATAAATATAAATATAGAGCCATTATATTTCGTGGTCCGATTGACAGTGAACTTCTTTCAATTAATTAATCTTTATGTAAGTTATTGGTTGAAATGAAAAATGCAAAAAGGAAGGAAAATTCAAAAGGTAGGTTGAGATGGGAAGTTGGTGTCCGAGTGCATCGAAGTAGGTAGAGCAGCGGCGTATTTAGCCGAATGTCGTTGGTTCGAATCCCACTCGTGACATTAACTTTTTAATTTCAACCAATACCTGACATAAAGATTAATTACTATAATAGAGTTGAATTGTACCGTAACAAACACTGAAAAGTTCTTTCGTATGACTCCCTCGAAATGGGGAGAGAAATATGCAAACATCTTCTGAATTTGTTGGAGTACGAGTCAGATTCAAACTTATAGTGATGAATTATAGATAAATAAGGATCACAGTGCGCATAAAAGTATTAATTAATTTTTTCCAATTTAATGTAAATTGTGAATATGTTTATTGATCATTCTACTCTCACCGTGTGTTTAGACCTGGCTCTTTTCGGCATTTATATTATCGATTGATGTCTGCATATTTCTCTCGCGCTCTGTCTTGGAATTCACATAGTTTGTCCGAATCTAAGAACTTGAAGGAATGTTTTTCTAGTTTTGGTAGGCAAATTTCTTTCAGTGATCGGATAATTCAGATCTAGTAACTGTCATTTTAACGGTATCTTTTTTTAATGTGCCAACTCAAGCCTGCTCTTCTAATTTTTAACCAATTTTACACAAATCCAGCAAATGTTGAATCTTCGTTAGGATGGACAGCTTAGCTTTGCATGTGAAATTTGCCGTTTTAACCTTCCTATGCATGAAAACGATAAACGTTGGGCTGCATGGACTTATAATGTTTCAACAATTTTCTACAATTTATCGCTCATTTTGATTTCAGTACTACGAGATGTCCTACGGGCTCAACGTGGAGATGCACAAACAGGTGAGACGGATTTCTACTGTACCGTTTTTTTTTCTCTCTCTTCTTAATTTTCATTTTCATCCTAGTCCGACCAGAAGTCGTGAGTGGACGGGCGTCCGTTATTACCTGCGCCCGCCCGGTTTCGCCTTTCACTTTGATCACGCTCGGATTCGGCTCGATCCGTCAAAAGAGTCCGTTCCCAGGGTTAACTGGCCGAATAATTTTCTCATTACTGATTAATTTGTGTAAATGGGACGATTTGGCAATAATCGGGTATCTCTCCGGCCAGATAAATTATTACGGAGGAGTATGGTGTAATTTTATTTGATAAGGGTGTATCTATTTATGGTGTAACTAATTCCTTCTTCAAAATCCGGTGTATCTCGTGAAATCTTCTACCTAACACTCCACGATATTCTATCGAACCATAAAAAAATAAAAAAAATTAACCTGCTTTGATTATGTTCATACATGTATCACCCGTGTCTATTTCAACAGACTTCATAATTTTATCATCTCAATGTTTCTCTCATGCTCGTTTGTTCCGACCATTTCACCAGATGAGACAATTAAAAAAAAAATCGCTTCTCATTTTTATTGTATAACTTTGATATTATATTGTATATATTACTACAGTCAGAAAAATTACGTATTGGCAATAATAATGAAAAATATACTTGATTCTGCACAATATGATTTGCGAGGCATTTTACTTATTGATAATCAATCGTCAAATACGTCAAATTACATGTAGTACTTTCTCATGTCTAAAATTGTCACTATTATCCCTAAAAAGTGTCTTTTTTGCTGGGATGGTTAGATTTTCGGTCCTTTTATCCCAAAGAAAGACTTCGTTTTCCAAATAGCCCGAGGAAAAATGTCAACAATCAAGTTTATTAAGCTGTTATAGTGTGTCTTGAAGCATGATATTTCTCGATAGCTTCTTCTTAATATGCGATTGTTTTGTTTGTTGGCTTTTTCTTTTACAAGAAAATTAGATCGAAATCTTTTTAAGGATTAAATGAAAACTCAGATATTATCAGTTTTTTACTATACTGCTGAAAAATATAAATTTTTTCAAGTAAAATTGAAGCCTTGTTTAATACGATGAGATGTAGTTTCATTTCTTTATGCAATTCTTTGCAGAACGGTTTTAAATTTTCTTGTACCCAAGGCTCTACTCTATTTCGAAAAGGGAGAAATGGGTTTAAATAAAGACTCAGATCTTATCACTTTTTGTCATATTCTTCTCCGGAATGGGCTTGCATTTTCTTGATTCTGCTCTTCTTCAACAAGGTAGAAATGAAGTGGTTTTATCCAAGTATGCTGAAATATGAGCATTTTGTCACAAAAGAGGAATAAAGCTTAGTTTAATTGGAAGAAATGTGTTTTAATCTTATCATGTCCTTCTTCTGCGGAGTGGTTTTAACTTTTCGTGACTCCGAGATGTAGAAAAGAAGTGGTTTTATCAAAATCTGTTGAAGGGCGAGCATTTCGCGGCAAAATTAATGTTAGATGTCTTGGAATTAGATGGAGGGACTCAAATATAGCTTAAAAGGGACTTGCTATTGAGGTCGTTCCCTTTGTATTTTCTCCCCCATCTCTGGCATTAAAGAGGCATCCCTCTTTCGTACCTCCATGTTTCTCTTTTTCCTCCCGCCATTATCCCGGACTTCCTTTTTCACACTACGGATGTAACTAAGTACCCTTGGGATGCGGCCTAACGCAATTTTGTCTTCTAGAATAAATATGTTCCTTCAATTCAGGATTGCCTCTATTCCGGAAGGGTTCTCCGCGAATGCTTTTTCGGTCGGGCAATTGTATTTTAATGTAAACCTTTATTTATTTCCTCCCTTAAAGAGCTTTTCCCTCGGTTCTTCCGTCTTAATCCGCCTATATTTATCCTAGGGTATTAGAAAATAATTAAACCGAGCCCAAGGTTTAAAATATCCTTCTCTTCACTCGAAATAAGTCTTAATTTATCTGGCGTTTAGCCGAACCTTAAGATTTTTATCAAACGCGACGCGTTTGCCAACGCCAATTCTTCTTAATAATGGAGCTGAGTTGGAAGTATGCCATCCGGTTTTACACTCGTTTTGGATTAAGATACATTCTCGTTTTACATCCAGATAGCTCTTGTTACCTATAATGTTTACTTAAAAGTGTAATGTATTGTAGAGGAACCTTTGTATGTGTAAAACTAGAAAAATATATCTGTATTAACTTAAAATACAAGAGGGATTTTACTAGGATACATTTGAGATCGATTTGATCGTTCGATCACCTCAGACTGCTTACCACTCCCCTTAAATTTTCTTCCAACATTATATATTCCGGTTTTTATATTTTTTTATGGGCTCTTCACGCGAGATATAGATCTAAGTCGTGTTTCTGCAAGATGGCTGTTATAAAAAAATAGAAGAAAGGTTGTATATGATTCGAATTAATTTTGTTTTTGTAGGTTTGTTGTTCGTTAACGAAGTTTAGCACGGATCAGCGTGTTTATAAGTAAATGGTTGGATGATTTGAAAAATTGCTCTGTGTGGTCCGTCTCTTCTTGCTTGTTTTACACTTTACGCACTTTTTATGAAAAATGCGAGCTCGGTGACATATCAGAAAAGTCAGATCAAAGATGATCAGATAAGCCAAGCAAAGATGTCGTTCCACTAGAGTTGAAAACTCACATGAACTTTTTTTTAATAGTATAAACGTTTTTAAAATATTATATTTCTGCCTAAATAAGATTAGCCCACTTAGGTTTCGGTGTTCTATAAACAATTCCGCTGAACAGATCTCTCCAGGCGGAGATAATGGGCGAGGCGAGCTTATCTACGAGATAAACTGTACAGCGACAATGGTGGAGTGGCCACTACAAGCTGATTGAGGATTCGATGGATGTTCACTTGAGTCTGAAGCACAAACAATGATTACAGCTCCCCCTACGCGCTGTTCCACAAATGTAAGACGTAAATTTACTAATCGAAGTTCGGCTTAATAAGCCTGTTGAATTCATGGGCAATGTATCTCAACAGTGTGTCAGCGCTCATGCTATCGTTAATCTTTCATGGAGATTTACATTACACTGGGATCAGTGCGTAATAAATAATTTAAAGAGAAATATTCAAGTACCTAGAGTTAATTTTAGTGTAAATGCTATGTTTTGAAAAATGTTATAGCTTATAAAAATTTCCAATCTGACCAATCAGGATCGTTTAGAAAAATGAACGGTACTGATAGATTTACATAGATCAGGGAGATCTCATGCTATTATGTTGCCTATAGGGGACATGAGGCCGTTGCAGTACCCCTGGGGTTTGACAGTATGGGGAAAGTTGCGTGATTTAATCATACCATCATCGTGGAAACCCATACGAGCAACGCATTCAGTTCCGTTTGCGAACATGTGTAAAACAGATGGGAGGGTGGGCAGACACATGTGGATTGCCCACGGGTGGAATTAGCCCCATCCAGATGGAACCCACCCTAACGACAGTCACTATTTAAAAGCTTTCCCCGTGCGAAATGAGCTCTAGGGGGATGAGGGTTGACAGTTGTCAGCCGACGCTCTCCCCTAACGTCATGTTAATTCAATTTATTGGATAATCTCTGGTCGAATGGAGCGGGGGCTTTACGCACATGCTTAAAACACAATCGCGATAAATATTTAAATCCGCTCACGCCTCCCTAGAGTTTTATCCGCTCCTTAATCGACCGGAAAAGTTATTTGTTTCCCTCAACATGGTTAGTTTACCCTCCGCATGTCAGTTGCTAAATCGTCCCTTTGAAAACTAGGAACCAATACCCTCAAAGATCATTAGAACCATCGTATAAATAACACAGTTTGTTAAAAAAAACTTTACATAATATTTACATTCGTGAATACAACTAACAGAGCACATATTTTGTAAACTGATTAATGACGTACCAGCATAGTTCAACCATTTAACTGGAGTGCTTTACAAAACAGACAACCACACTACCTTAGATCTGTCTGTAAATCTATACAGTTTACGCAACAGTATTATATAGAAACAATCGGTGATAGCATAAAACCATTGATAACATCAGCTTGATAAATCTCTCGTTTTCTTTTCATTGAATGTGTATATATAATACATAGAAGTTGGACCTTCAAGGATTTGAAAGACAATGACAATCAATTGACTTATAGTATAGAAATCTAATCGATGCTCATTTTTAACATAAAACATACTTATATTATTAAATGTTATTGACATATTACTATGCTCTGAATTTATTTGAAATAATCGAAAGTTTACGAAGACTCGATACGGGCCTGGAACGTCTGAAAAGGTAGAACTTATGATAAAATCTAGTCAGAACAAAAGCCGTATTAACATATTGAGGGAAACAATAGACAATTCTAAGAAACTAATAACAAAACGACTAAGCCACACCCTCGGCTCTCATCATCGCCTCTTAAATACCTCATAAATACAGGAGTTTTGTGATATGAGCTGGTATGGGATAAAGGAAAACGCATTTTTCTACCTTTATGTAATGATGTTTTAAGACTTAGTGCTCGTTACCCATCGTTCTTGGTTTCGGGATGGCTGTTGAAAGTGTAATCGAATGATCCGAAGTTTATCCGAATTTTTTAAATATTTCCTTTTGACACCGAATGTGAAGCTCTCAAACGAGGCAGTTCCGCCTAATTACAATCCCCGTTCTAATTTCATCCGCAGGCCCGATTTAATTTGAATGATCGATGAGTTGTGAAATTAAAAACGCCCCGGCCCAAAAACTAATCGCCCCACGTATTACGGGCCAGTGGAAATAAATCCATACCGTGTCTTTGTGGCCTGTAATTTAGCGGGTCGGGGTTCGGGGTCGGGGAGCTAATAATTTTGGCGGTAATTCTTGATTTAGGGCCATGCCTGCCGGTGGTCGTGAAGTGGGGTTACCGAGCTCACAGTCCTCATTAGCCCCTTTACATTATACAGATCATGAATATATTGCGTCAATAATTGATGAGTCGAACCCTGGCAATTCAATGATCA